CCGACAAATCATCCTTCTCATTTGCTATAAGTTAGGCCTGGACAAAAGAAGTATACAATTAGTTAGAGTAGAGCCTGCATCGCATGGTGGAAAAGTTATACCTTATGCTCAACTGGACAATTTTTCCCGAGTCTTTTTTGCCACATGGGTCAAAAACGCACCCTTTTTGAGCACACGTGAGTAGCAGATGAGCACATTTATTAGAATTTCTTGTGTAATCAACTTCGTTAAAGCGTTTGTGCACATCGATCAGTCACTGCTAAAGGGGTTGAAATTGTAGCTCTCAGCAAGAATTTTGAAGCATTTGGTACACATGCGAATTTGCACACTGGACCCAGGAATTTTCAAAAAAAAGTATAAAAATTGGGGAAAGTTAAATTGTGAACCAACAATAGAAAACAATAAGCAACATATTTCGCAGTATTAATGAGCAAAAAGGACTTTCTGAGATATTGATTTTCCATAGTAATCGGCCCCAAAACTTCCTGAACTCAGAAAAGCGACACTAAGATATCCGGTACCTAATAGACTAATCCACATTTAAAGGAGGAATTTCACGATTAGAATGAAGGTCGAAGAAAGGGAAACTGACCTAGTTGAGGGACCCACGGACCTCCTGAGGGTGCGAACTGACGCGCAATTCGCATGGAAAAATTTGACCTCGGCGACCTATCATGCCTCAAAGCTGGCGGGTCCGGCGATCTCCGCCCACCGATCATCTGATCACTCGCCGTAGTTCAATACGTGGCGAGTGATTAGATAGCTGAGAGAGCGTAGTGTTGAAGAGGGCACAGCGATGAGAGTCGCATCAATGCTCAAATCAACGGGCAAGGAAGGGGTCCCATTTCTCGGGTTCTGGGCCGTTTCTCATGGTTCTTCCTTCTTTCGTGTACCACTCACCATCCCTAGGTTAATTTGAAATGGGTTGCTTTTTCATCGTGAATTCGTCCTTTAAGCCGAATTCCTGCAGATATCAGGCGCTGCTGGGTGAAAAGCCGTAGTAAAGGTCAAATGGTTGAAGGCGGTGATTACGGTATAGCTGTAAGCACCGTTGATTACTCTTATAGCAAGAAGGGAACAACAATATCGGACCTCTTCGGGAAGAATTCTGCGTTGAACCTCGGAAATCAGAGAGATTCTGACTCTTTTGCTATCAAAGATGTGGATAAGTGAGATTTTCATAGTTCTGTCGAAAAGTACAAGACCGAAGAGATTCCCCCTTCTGCCAAGTTCTTTCCAGATTTTAGAATGGTCTCCCATTTCTAGCGATTGCCATGACGTGCATCATTCAATGACGGGGTTCCGTCACATATCCTTGCTGTCGTTGTCGAAATGTCATGCAATGTCTCCGCGTCTCATGGCCACTTTCCAATTCAGGAATACATTTGTTCAGTGCGCCTTCGAGTAAATATTTTTAGACATCATCTATTTGAAGACTTTGACGAGCAGTTCAATGAGGAAATCGGCTATAGTACTCCCTACAACTGTGTTGCTTGCCATAGCTACTTTACGGTTGATACAAATGAGGCTGAGCGCTCGTTCACTAGCAGTTGAGATACCTGGGGCAGGAGGTACATGATGAAATGGCAACGCTTTTCTGGGAGACAAGAGTGTAAGGGGTACCCGACAGGAAGGCCCGTCGCGCGGCAACAAGGCAGGTCAGCGGACGAGTCGCAGCGCGTACTGTAGTGATTTCGCGTCAAGTTAAATAGAATGTACCATTGTACGTCCTACATCGCACATCACGCGCTGCGACTCGTCCGCTGACTCTGCCTTCTTGCCGCGCGACGGGCCTCCTGTCGGGTACCCGAGTGTAAGAGCTTTTTTTAGAGAGTGGATTTTTATGGATTTCGCACAACTCTCGAAAATTACTCAATTTCCGTTTCAGGTACTATATATTAGGGTCTTCTTTCGGGAGGGATGCTCCTGTCGTGGTGTACGGCAAGTGTTTCTGCATGTTGACCATTGCCCATATGGATGAATTTGAGATTATATATTGAAGAATTTTTACGTTATAGGTAAAAGATAAAGGATAAAGCATTTGCCGTTGATCAATCCCTTTTTGGGATGCGGCACGCATTCTACTTCCATTTGTACATTCGTAGTGGCGTTTGAATGCGATGTGGCCTATACAATGACTTGCGGGGGCCAGCCGATGTACAAGTCAGTGTTTTTATCCTCCCAGACAAGTCTGGTACCAATTAACCGACCCCGGAGGGATGGAAGGCTTGGTTGGCCCGGGCGACTCACGACCCAGGATTTGATCCCCGGACCGCTCGCGTGGTAAGCGTGCCACTTGCCACTACACCACTTCCGCCCTTTGAGTGTGGAAGGCGAATTCCACACATTCCCCCGTGTTGGTAAGACGTTATTCGACTAGTTTGGAGGCAGCTGCCCCCCCCCTCCCTCCACCACGCACTTCGTTCCATGCTCCTGGCTCCGCTCAGGTGTCGTCCGTGCCCACGAAGTGTGGGTTTTGAAGGTTCGCAGGCTCATTTCCTCCTGGGAATTTGATGTTCATGTGTGGGACTCCTTTGCACGCTGACTCTACGACCACGCCCGAGACATTCAGGCAAAGAAGTACTTGGCTGGCCCCAACACATATCGTGGTATGCCGCAATCTCATGCAAATATTTCCACAGCACTAGATGAAGGTCAGTTGATGGTGCGTGCAGAACGGAGTGAACATCACCGAGTACAACATTCGTCACTGGGGTCTATCAATAGAGCTGATTCCAAAACATGCTCTATAGATAGACACGTGCACTTTAAGTATCATCAAGATAGATAAACACGGATGTCTGTGAATGTCTCCAGAGACATCTATTTTTAGGCTGGCGGCTATATCTTGAACACATTCACCAGATTTTTTTTACTTTTTCCCTTCCAAAAACGGACAGATTGTAGAGTTTATTGGCGAAGAACGAAGAAGTTTATTGCTTTCAAACTGTGTGAATGGAACAGGGTTGAATAACGGGTGTTTTAAACGTCATGAGGATGAGGATGCGCCATGCACGCTACTCCCATAAAATTATTTTGAAGCACGCATCAGGCATAACAGTGACTTGCACTTAGCCTCTTAGCAAACGGTAGCACTCTTGGTTGTCCTGGATCATTTACATGGATGTGTTCTCAATATGAAAATCTGGTGCTTTCATGTATTTCCGTTTGAAAGCCACTTAGCTTCACATAA